GAAATACATAGTAGGTTACCCCAAACATCAAACTGATATAATACACAACACAACAAAAACCTTTTAAAACCTTTTAAAACCCATCTGGACCTACAGGCTATCAAGCTCTATGGTAGCGTAAAAGAATCAAATATACAAAGCATTCAAACTTTTCAAACATTTCTCTATTATAAATTAAAAATACCCTTCCCTTTGTTTTTATTCTTACACTCCATAATGACTTTAATAACAAAATAACAACAAAACTTGATAAATCAAAATTTTTTGCTAGAATATTACACATACTTGCAAACTATATCTCCATATTCTAATTCACTTAAAATTGTTTTTAAATTTAATTTATTTTAAAACTAAATTAATTTTATACTAGTATATTAATATAGTTATTTTAAAGTAAATTAGTTGTTACATTTTTTATTATCTCAATTAAAAATTATAAAATCAATATCATAATAATTATATATTTAAATACCTACCTATTCAGGCTATCAAGCATTAGACTTAAATTATAGGTTATACCAGCCACCAGGGGTGTCATTATAGGAGCGTGCAGGGTGTACATTTATTACACCAATTTTTTTTTAAAACAACTTCTTTAGCCTGCCGAAAATAAATATATGCACCGATACATCTAATCATTTTATGCTATATATATATTATATTTTTTTAGTATTTAAAAAAAAATGTTATGTTTATTCGTTTTATTGTATTATTTTTATAACTGTAATTTTGCCACTGTGAGCATCCGTATCCATTCAATAAACTATAGGTTTTATTAAGCTAGCTATATAATGTAATTTAATGCCATGAAAAAAAAAGTTTAGGTTAGGTTCAGTTAGGTATTTTATTATTGAGGTACCCGTAAATTTATTTATCAAGTATAAATACCACTGGTAACCACAAAATAAGTATAAATATAAATACATTAAAAGTACAAATATGAAATAGTTAGACAAAAATAGTAACCATTGTTGTAATATTTTCAACATAGTATATATGTGACATTATATTATGTATTAGCTATACAAATATCCTACAATTTTTCTTCCTAATTGATCACCCCCTGCCAAAAAAAAAAAAAAAATTGTAGCCTGGTAATGATTTGAAATGGGCTTCATAAATTTTAGCACTAATAATAAAAAAGTTGAAATTACTCCCATRGGTTATACCATCTATATTAAACAAAATAGTAAGTAAGTAATAAGCGAATCCGTAATTATATAGTTTAAAGCCATATATCATATCAATACAGTGAATTAGTAACACAATGGTAAATAATAGTAATAATTTTTTGAAAAACTATTAACTAAGAAAAAAAAAACCTGTGAATTATATTTATGTATAAAGTAGACACTTGTTATTATGACAAATACCTAGTATAATAACTATTATATAAATTTAAATATTTAATACATATTTTAAATTTCAACTAAATTATAAATTACAATATTTTAAAAATATTTATGAAAAACAGTTGCATTAATTTGTAATTGTACTTTATTAGGTATATTATATTATCTATTAAGTATTTTAAATGTAAACTTCCTGTTGTGTTTAATAATGTCCAAAAGGGTTTTATATAACATTTAATCTAAACTATAGTACCTATATAAGCTCAAAATTCTGATTACACATGCAATACTATAGAGCTTGGTCAGTAAACAATTAACAATTAACAATTGACAGTAACAAATCATAGTTGACTTTACATAATTTTATAAATTCAGTGTTAACAGATAAAATAAGTTCAATTTTTAGTTGTTGAAAATCTTTGTACAATATTTAAGCATTTCCTACACAAATGTAATGGGGTGTTTAAAAACAACAAAAAACCAATTCATTTGATGCTTTGCTAGAAATCTAAAAATTAAATAATGGATGCAAATCATTAATAAATATGTAGCAATTATTCATTCTCTAATATTTATGGTATTTGCATTATTTTAAGACACAATTGACAAATTAACTAACATCATATTAAATATTTTTAGTAATATGTCATATAACTTTTTTTTTGAAATAGGGATCTTTATATTATTTTTTCTTTATGTATATAATTTTACTRTGCKTGTGTATGTCACTGAACTCCTCCTAAACGGCTGGAACGATTTGAATGAATTTTTTGTGTGTGTTTGGGCGACATTCACAAATCAATTCCCTTCCTCAACTACTAAACAGACATTTTGAGATTTACGATGGAAATTTTTCTWKATAGATGGTTTCCCTAAATTTTTATTATTAATTGTTTCCATGGTATGTGCGTCTATGGCATTACAAGTTTTTATTGAAAGTTTGTATTTTTTGTTTTTATTGTTATAATAACGCCATTTCTATGCAGTTATGCCTCTTACAACTGAACAACGAGATGCAAGATTGAAAACTGATATGAAATATATGACTGTACATCCATAATCTAAAAAATGATGCATCACCTGATTTTGCAAAACTATTTTTGAAAATGGGGAATGGTAAACTAGCTATGGATGAATCAACACAATGCATCACATTTCTGTAAAATAACAGCTACAACCAATGAGTTAATTGACAAAGTTTTCTTAAATCTACCACAAAATTACGGAATGAAGTATTAAACATTTTGTAGTCAATCTGACTATTAAATATAAGGGCATAAAAATCATAAGATAATTCAAATTTTGTAAAATATTTTAATACAATTTTGTTCAAAAAATAAATACCTATTTATAATGACTTAAAAACTCAATAAAAATGACAAATACAATTCATTTATTTTAAAACAAATTAAAAAGACATAATTAATGTTCAGTTGAAGATTGTTCTACCAAATGTTTTTTTTTTTTAAATTTAGATTTTAATAAAATGAGAGTATGATATTTTAATATAAGTTAGATTATTATTTGCTCAATCTTTCCAATTTTGTGCTAAAATATCAATTACTAGAGTGAATTGATGTATTATACAACTTAGAGATAAATGTTTAAATAATAACATTTTACATTATCATAACTTGATTAAAAATTGAGATGTATTTAAAATCCAACATTTACAAATATATGGATGTAAATTCATCCCATACAGAAACAAAATAACAGTATTAATGTGAATTAAGTTAGTTCCTACTGTGATCGGAAAATGTATTTTTTAATATTTTACTTAGAGAGGACCTCAAAAAACAAATAAAATAATCACAAAAAATTGTAACATTGAAAAGTATATACRCATAGGTCATATTAAATTAGATTTATTAATCTCCTTATACATTTATATACCTAAATTACATATATTTTAAAACTTATTGGTAGAGATTCAATATTTTTCTTAAAAATATTAAATCACGATTACAATATTATCAAAGATTAAGCATGTTTTTTTAATTTATTTAATTGTTTGAATACTACAAGTATATTTATAATGTGAATTTAAAGTTTACAAATAAATTTTAATTTGATTACGAGTCTGGATAGTCCTCACCTTGAGTTTCRAGGAAAATATCTTGTGGTAGCTGTGGTTTTAGTTATAATTTGGAGATTTTTTTGCCAATATTTTAATGGAGTGTAGGAGTGCTTTTAAGACTGAGGAGTTCTTTGGATAAATGTTTAAACTGTTGTGTTATCCATGTTGATAGTTATCTTAGGCCCGTATCATTATGTAATTGTATGTTTCTCATGAGCCACAAGTCCTTTAGGACTATTTTCAAAAATTTGTTTTGAAGAGTTTGAAGATTTTAATTTCCAGCTTGCCAGGCAGCWATGATACTGGCATTTTATGCACATTAAGCTTGTTATATATAGTAGTGCCATATTTACAGTAATTTAAATTAATGGATGGTTATTTAAGAGGATATGGCCGCCGTATGTACTTTCTCCGTCTTACAAATGTACATCATACATTTTTTGTTGACTWTAATTCATTTACAGTGTCATTTTAAAAGTTAGAGGATTGATCCATTATGAAATTTAAAGGTAAAATTATTATTATTATCTGTAAAATTTTGATAATTCTAAAATKATCATAACTTTTTGAAAATAATATAAATAAACCTCCGTTGTTGCTTATATAATAACCTTTAAATTGTATTTAGGGCCAATTCACTTTAATTTGCTATGTTTCATGTTTGTAAGAATTTTTAGTTTGGGTTTTTTTTTTGGCTATTTCATCTCCAAAAAATGGCATATCGCCAACGACTCGTACAATTAGTGCATTTTGTTATTAATATTTGGCTGTCATTCAAATAAACTGTGGGAAAAATAATTTTTATATAAATAAGTAAGTGTTTTTAATGTATTTAAAATTTAAATACTTACCTCTTATTGAAGGATTTCAAGGACTTCTAGAAATATTGTTTACAAGTATGAATATCAGAGTTATACCTACCTCTTATGATATACACTTAGTAGTAAGTAGTAATAATCAATGATAATATATTAATATGTTTAACTTTTTTATAGCTAATCTCAGAGAACAACATGTGTATTAATATTGATATTATATTTGTATA